GGGTTGCCAGAAGGAGGCACAAGAAAGTTTTGGACTTTTGGGAGGCTTTAAATGACCCCAGATCGATTATAAGTTAACGTGTAACCAACGCTGAAAAGCATTTGACTGTATCTCATTTATCATTCATTTAGAAGTTGCAGCATTTTGAAATCAATTTTGATGGAAAAATGAACGCAAAATAGTGAATTTTGGCAATTTTGAGATGTCCCTTCCTTGCCATGGTAACAGGAAATTTAAGCCTGGGCATGTTGTTACAAAGGCAATGGTCAAGTCAACATTTGTGCCAAGTTTGATCAGTATTGAAGCAGTTTTTAAAGTTTTATAGCAATTTGAACTTGTAAAGAGAGACTTTTCAATGAAACAGCCATTTTTCACAAAATGCTCATGAAGTAATGGGTTAAATGTGGACAATGTTGAATATTGTTTTTTCAAATTGGTCATGTTACAACATTCAACAAACAAACTTTTCTTTATGGTTAATATAACCATTTTCAATTCATTTTGTCATAATTTTGTTTTCCGGGGAGCTAAACATAAACAAAATTACAAGAAAATTATGATATTTTATTTTTAAAGAACTTTTTTATTTACAATTAAAACGAAAACAAAATACACTTATTGATAACCACATAAAAAGTATGTTTAGCCCCAATAATGAGACCAGTAAGCTAATATTTTCTCGTATACACCGTTATCTAAAATAGAAACTATGACACGCCTGTAAAAAATCAAAATCTATATAAAATATTTGTAAAGTTTCGGGGAAAGCAATTAATATAAAAGCAGAATTATAATTAAAAGTTCTGTTATGAATTATATACATGTAGTTGTTATGAAATTATATTAATGTAAATATACTCTGCAATGTAAAGTGATATACATGTTGTAAGAAAGGTAACTTAAAATGCTTCATATCATATCATAGAAGGTCTACACTATCACGACGTCTTAGAACTGTTTACCATTGTTTTGTCAATTGAACTTGTCAAACCTCTAGAACCCTGATAAAAATAGTAATGACTTTCATTGGATGATTCTCGCAAATACGAAGGCAGATTTGCTCATTGGTTTTACTTGCGGTAATTGCAAAAAGAAATAGAAAAAATAACCAACCTAAAAGTTTACTTTTAAGTGTGTTTGTTAACAAGATAATTATAAAAAATATATAAAAGATGGATTTTAAACAAACACGTCAAAAAATATATTGTAACATTAACATGATCATTTTGTCTATCAGAAATTTTTAAGTTAATTTAAATAGTTAAGAATCTATTATTTCTCATAGTTTTTCAATAGCACAATTGAATTTAAACAAGAGAATAACGATGGCTTTTCATAAAAATAAAATAAGCTGGTTCAAACTGTAATTTATCACTTCATGTTTGCACTCTTTATGTCATTGAAATATTGAACGTTTTTGAAACAATTTGAATACAGCCAAGTTTGTCTTTGTTTATGCTTTCATAAGGAAGCCGAGTTAAACTCGCCTTTAAGATCCAATACATTCTTTTCCTCTTCCACTGTTATTTCAATATTTTCATACAGGTGTATTGGTTATGTTACTTGTCTGTGAAGCCAATGAAAGTATAGGCTGTTCCTCCGTCAGATTTATCCTCTGTACTAGAATAAAATTGATTCTACAATTGAATTATTAACATTCAAAACACATATCTTTGCAACATAAACTATCAAAAATACAATCAACTTAACAAAAATGCATTACATCTAATAAGGAATAACACATTTATAAGCGAGGGGCGTAGCTAGCTTTTTTCAACTTGTAGGCACATGAAAAGGGGATGTGGAGGCTTAGTCCCAGAAGCCAAAAACAAGTTCAGATTAAAAAGAGTAAAATGCGCGTTTCAAAGTATGTTCAAGGAAAATTATCAAAACAATAATTTTAAACTATGATATTGATTAAATGCAAATTTACTGAGGATGGTAAATCATGCACACACTTGATTATACTAAACAGCTTGAATACACTACCAACCCCACCCTCGCATGTTTTTATTGTATTTTTTTGGGGATTTTTAAAAATGTCAATTTCTTGACCACTTTGTAGGCCCGTGCCTACATGGCCTAATAGTACTACGCCACTGTAAAGCTATAACTAACAGGCAATGAAAACTGAACCTAAATGATCTCGTAAATGAACTCACATATTTTTGATTATGAGAGAATGTTTAGCTTAAATTTCACCAGTGATTTCACCAGTATATTAGAGATATTCTTCTAGAAATGTATTACATTGTCAAATGAACGTGTAATAAACTATGAAATTCTAAATAAGATAAGGGAGTGTTGACATAATGGTCCAGATCTCCGCCTCTCAACCGAGGAATAGTGGTGAGCTCAAGCCCATCCATGTTAATTGTTGAACACAGATTCTTTGTGAACAAGTTATTATTAAGTTGATTTACCCTAAAATGAGTCCTATATTTGACAATTTATCAATCACCTGTGCAAGAGGCACGTGGAACCATTTCATAACATAATCAATGCAGTGTGCAATGGTGGGACATACACAAGTCATTGCAATGAATTCAAAATTACAAATTATTAGGCTTAATTATAAAATAATCCTTTTTAGTTTACTTACAATTGTTTTCCCAGCAGATTTTTTTCAACAAAATGGCGGGTGCACATGTGTGTACATTCGGAATACTTCTATTTGATCCATACATAGACTAAGACTGTCAATAAGCAGTTAGCAGTAGGATGTGAGCAGCAGGCTGTCCAGTTAGCAGTAGGCAGTGAGCAGTAGACTGTCGTTTATGGAATTCCGTAAATAAGTGAACAAGATTATATGAGAAATTAATTATTACGATTTGAAATATCTGTATGTAAGAAATTTTTTTATCATATTTTCTATACATTATAGCTTTTGAAAGTAATAATTAATATAAAATGAAATGAGATTGCTGTTAATGAATATCTAAGCCAAGATAACAATATCCACAGACTATACTAGCCCGCAAGATCATTTTGACTAGACTGATAGAGGAATTTTACTAAATATCTTTATTGTACGTGGCTAATTTGTGCTATTTGTGTTTCCGCCCCGCGACCCCTCCAAGCAAAAAGTCGAGAATTAAATAGTTAAAATGCGTGGGTCTTAGCGAAAACATGCTAATTAGCGGCGGCGCGGAGCGAAATTTGATAAATAGAAGTTCTCCCCACACGCCTGTTTTTTATCATGTTTTCGACTCGCGACCTCGCCAAGCGATATGTCGAGAATTAACAATTTAAAATAGCAGGGCGCGGGGAGAAGTTTAATAGATAAAAATTCGCTCCGCGTGGGTATGGAGCGAGATTTATGAAATAAAACGACGGGGCGCGGGGCGAAAAAAAGCTAATTAGCAGGAGCGCTGGCAAATTTGTATTTGTTCCTGCAAAATAGCGTTTTTTGGCTCCGCGGCCAGCCATTTTAACTTCTTCGTTCTCGACTTTTCCCTTGGCGGGGTCGAAGGGCGTTAACACGAATGGCACACATCAGCCACCATATTGACTTCTTCATTCTACATGATTTATATCAGTATCTATGCCGTAAACTTTCATAAAAGTAAATTACGATTAAACTCTTTGTAATATATTTTAATGATTTTGATGTAAAGTTTTGTAGTAGTTTTGAAATTTAAAGTATATAGAAAAAAGATTCAGTAGACAATGTTTAAAGCGTCATTTAGTATACATTAGGGACGAGACGTTTGTTTAAGGTTACATTAAATTTGGTCGCCGCTAATGACCAAGCCCATGCCCTTATATGTTTTCTGCAAAGTTTTCGTTATAACTGTGCAATATGCTCATTATTTTTGCTGTCATGTTCAGCTGAATTAATAAAAATATTTCAAAAGATTTACTTTTATAATGGTGACTCACCTATTATTGAATTAAAAAAAATGTTTAGGATGATATACTTTTATACCTCCTTTTTATAAAAAGAATGCGCCATTCGTTTTCTTTTCTAATAAATTCCGAACGGTATTTACAGAAATTTAAAAAAACAACAACAAAAAAAAAACAACAAACAAACAAACAAATGGCGCCACAAATGTGTTTCATTATAGAATATCATATCAGATCGACTCAACAATTACATCGTGGAAAATCCTGAAGACTGGCAGCTTCTATCTTTACCCTAAATGACGCCGAGGGAGTTCCGTTCTTAAGAAATAGCCGTGACAACGAGCAAGGGTACGAGGGTGCATGAGGCACGGCTAATAAAGCGGCGAACTGTGCTTGCATAACAAATCGTATTAGGGCTTCCAAATTTAGCGAATGCACAAATGTAAATTATTGCCCATTTGTGCTTCAACACGCGTCGTTTCCGAGACCCTCACTCTTTAAACATTGCTTCAGCAGGAATGATCCTTATTCGAATGGATGCATAACAAAATCCGGGTACCAAATTACAGAGCAAACGACAGTATTCAACGGTATCGTAAAATAACATAATGACTTTAACTTGTAGCGTTATATTGAATATAAATGGTTTGATTAATCACAAATGAATTTGTTTGAATTCCATGTGGCACAGTCATTTTATTAATATATGATTGATATGCTCGACTCATGCATACTTTATAAACTTTTTTCGTACGTGGGTAATTGACAAAAATATATGTGATTTATGTCAGTAGGGTTGTTTAAATAAGAGGTTTCTATAAAATCGTGACTGATTGAATTTAAATTAACTTACCAGATCAATATTTTTAACAAATTTAAACTCTTACTGTGACTTTCTAAAGTTCTGTGTTTTAAATACTATTCTGATAGCATATGTAGGCAAGAGTATATTTCAATATGAAATGTTACGTTTGTTTAGTTAAGATAACTGGATTTTTTATGTGAACAAATTCGTGTAGCTTATTAGTGTTTTGTTTTCTTTGTATCTTTAACCATACCTGTACAAGGACTAGAGCTAAAGTTTGTTCGTCGGCTGAATGTAGATTTACACCTTTCGATGTATGGAATAAATGACTGTATAGACGCATGCAAGAGGACGAAAAAATATAAATTATGAACTTTGAAAACTTCTAGCGGTTTATTGAATATTAATGATTTTATAAAGCATACATTAGTTTGTCGCACAGTCATTTTAAAAATACTATGATTGATAAGCTCGACTCATGCATACTTTATAAAACCCTTGCTGTACTTTGAAAATTGGAAAGCGATATATTCAAAAATATATTGTCCGTAGAGTTGTTTAAATAAAAAGTTTCTATAAAGCGTGACTTGATTAACTTTTTACAAATTCACTGTAACTTTGAATTTCTCTAAGTGACATTGTCAAAGCAAATTTAGGCAGTGTAAAATGTAAGGGTTTTCTAATTTTAAAAATTGAACTGTTTTTGTGAACAATTCGCAATGCTAATAAACGCTTTTCTCTTTGTATCTTTAACCATATCTGTACAAGGACTAGAGTTTAAGTTTGCCCGTCGGTTGAATGTAGACAATGTTAATCTTTACATTGCTGACAGTCACCTCTCAATGTATGGAATAAATGACTGTATAGACGCATGCAAGAGGAGGAAAAATTGTAGATTCATAAATTATGAACCAAGAACAAAATTGTGCCAAATGATCAACACGATTAATGAGTGGACTTTCACGACAGCTGACCATTTGGAAACAGTACCTGGCTTCTATTTCGGGGACAAGACTTGGTGGAATATGGTAAATATTATTCAGAAGGTTTTTGCGCAATCAAAACGATTTCTTTGTCTTGTATATAAAAACATCCCTGACTATTATTTAATTGGTTCGAGTTATCATGAAATTATGAAAGGAAAAATATAATCACTTTCTATACATTTAACAGTTGATTCAAAACTTCAGCTCGTCTCCAGATTTAAATAGTTATCCGAAAAAAAAATCTTTTTAATTTGAATAAAACACGTCGTCAGCTACTAGTATAAAGTTATTAAATAGATGATGTATGCCATCTGAAGTTTGCCAAAATATGCAACTATAGACCATAAACCGGTATAATGGTGATAAAAGTAATACAATTTTAATCCTATCATATTTCTTACAAAAGTGTCAATAATTATTGAACCTTTTATGCATTTCTTTCAAATTCTTTAAATAATTCTATAGGTATGGTTAATCAGATATAAGTTTATGCTTCTGAAAACCGCGTGCAGCTCTAACATATGTTACACCTTGTATTGCAAGTGTTATATATTCTATTGTTTCTACGATAATATAACTTTAAGAAAAATTCACATATTATAACATCACTTACTTACAAATTAAGATTATATATTTATTGCACGTGCTACAAGGAATTAAACGAAATCACTTACTTATGTTACATGCATCTGCTTCTTTTCCCCACTGTCGTAACGTCTCTTTGTGTTCTTACAAAATCATTTTAACTTCAGCTTTTGTTGAAATAACATGTAGTAGGTTCGTTTAAATGTTAGTATATTATTTCTGTGTACATGTATATTATTTGATTGAAAATTAATGAGTCATAAGAATTTCTTTATATTTTGAATCGATGTTTATGATAACCAAACATATAAAAAAAAATAGTTTGCTGAAATGTAATAAATCTTCGAGTATGTATCTATCTGCCTTAGTCGTTCATATTTTGAACAAAGCGAACTAATTTTAAATAACAAGGTTCCATGAAAAAATTCGGCTATTTTATTTGTCTTATCTTTAAAGGATGATCAACATGAGTATGAAGATAACGAAGACGACAAAGGCGTTGGATCAAATGTCGGAGGTATCAAAACAGCGAGTCTGAAATCTGATTAGATGCTTCAGTTGAGAGAAATTTCTTAGCTGAGTAATTAGTTCTACTCAAATCAGTAAAGCATTCAGATTGCTAACACAGCATAAAATCAAGATAAATAAAAACTGGTGTAAATGACAAGAGGGTTTTGTGGTTTTTGTACAGAATTGAAAATGCATTTTAAATTCATGCATATAAATCGAATATTAAAGATACTTAATTACATATATCAAAATATGTTATATATTTTTTTACCAGTATAAGTCGTGTTTTCTAAATGCAATGTTGGCAGATTCATGTAGTTTTATTTTTTGTTTTATTTCAAGGTTCTTTTTCGTTTCTTTTCTGTTGTTGATTTTAAAAAATTTTTATTTTTTTTTGGTACACTGTCTTATGAACGAATTATTTACAAACTTATAAATAGCTAGATAAAAAAAATCATATAAGTAACTTTATCATTAAACGATTTCAAAAAAAAAAAGTTAAAAATTATTATCTCACAATAACAAATGAGTGCATTGAAAGACGTATTGTATAGTAAATATAACGAGACATGCATGCTTTTGGACAGAAACAAACCAGTGATAATCAGGACTTGTTTTATATGACCGGTGTGACGTCAGTAACTCCATAAATACTAATTCTCCGGTATATATCTTTTTAATGAAATTGACTACCCGGTCATAATTAGTATGACCACCTTGTCATAAATATTTTAACCCCCAGTCAAAGCATGATAAAAAGTAAAATAACACACGCTAGTGTGACGATCCCCTTATAGTAATGAGCCCTGCCATTTGTTGTTATAAGTTATATGTAAGGTAGCGATTTGCCAAAAAATAAATTAAGAAAATAGAAATTTTCTCCTCAAGTGTAAAATCATTGGACAAAATCACAGTGTCTGTTAATTCTGACAGCCAGTATGTCATTTCGATGCCGTCATATTTTTCTGGTCCTCCGGGATCATTAATCACACAACCGTTACTTGATTAGAATTGAAAACTGCTTAAAACATAAACAATTCCTGATCTAACATTTACAGATTCAAACAAACAAAAGAAACAAGAAGAGATGTATGTATATGAATATATTCTTAACCCTTTCACTGCCATTGGGACGGCTTAGGCCGTCCCTGTTATTTTCGGCGTATTTGCTTTTGCCGTTTCTATAATAATAATAATAATAATAATAATAATAATAATAATAATAATAAATTAATAATAATAATAAAAATAATAATAAATATGAAGAAAATTATACCATCGACAACAATTATTATTATACTAGCATATTTGGAAACATATATAATTATTATAATACTAATAACAAATGATAATAATAATCATATTAATTAATAATATAGTAATTTCTTAGAAAACCCTCTGGCAAATAGGTGATCAATAAAACAATAACGCTCTGGCAGCAAAAGCGTTAAACAAAATGTTGACTTCTAAGACTGGGACACATAATAACATGTAGATAGGGAACAATTTTTTACATGGCTGAGGTCATTTTTTTCTGAGAGAGTCAGTATTTGATAGAAAGGGGTCCCTTTTTACAATAGAGCCTTGTCCGATCACTTTACTTCGTTACACTGGAAACACTTATAACATAAGATCTTTCAAATAGGCTTATACAAGTTTAATAACAAATTACAAGTTTGGAAAATTGGACAGATTTATAATAAGATTTGGCTTATTTCCACAGCTATCTCTTGCACTGTCACAAGAGATTATTCATTATTTCCTTCTTCATATTTTGCAAAATTATTCATGATTACTTTCACAAAATTATAGTATCTAACGTCTACCCTTGCGGAGAAATACATTTGAAAACTGGAGAGAACTTATGCATGTCAACTTCCTGGTAGTAACTTGACATTAAACAAATATATGTAAAGAAGTACGTAAGAGATATGTACAGTTATTGTAACAAAGTTTGAATATTTTCCAGGATGTGGTTTGCCTGAAGAAAAAGATAACGCAAAATTATTAGGGAATATGTTCTCATACGGTGATAAAGTCCAATACAAATGTATGGATGGCTTTGCATCAAACAAAACTGTTCCATTAATTTCAGAGTGCCTTGACAATGGTACTTGGAGTAGACAAGACTTCGTCTGCATTCCTGGTATATGAGAATATTTTTTAAAAATTAATGGTCATTTTTATAGTTTCTGAATTTTGAATTTACATTGACTGTCATGTATATACAATTCTTTTATGACATTCACCAATGGGCTCATTTAATTAAAAGCATCCTGTAATTATTTCTTTGAATTAAATGTTCTTGTCCATTACATTTGTTTTGACCTAATATCTTTTCAGGTGTAGTTCACAAAGTTGACAAAACGTTCTACATGCTGATAAGGGAAAAGAAGACGTGGTCAGAAGCAAATGTATGTTAATTCGTGCTTAAAGCTAAAACATACTTAAAACATTATTAATTTATTTCTCCCTTAATATCATCAGATTGGTTATTTCTCCACTCTGATACTTATACTGTACCTTTTTACTACCAGTTTTTTTAGAATTGGTAAAAAGTATATCAAAAAATGCTAGGCCTTTTTATTATTTGAAAACAACGTATTTAATATTAATTCAATTAAACAGGTTCATAAAATAAATTTTAAAAAATCACTGTTAAAACAACTGAAGATGAACATAAATATCAAATAAGAAAGACAATAAATTCATTTGTTAATTTATATACATGACCTCCTATTAATTTGTTTCACATTCTGTAAGGACCCGGATGAAATAATTATATACTTCGCCTTCAGGGCTAAACTCCTACTTACTTACTTACTTAGACCACTGCTATCACAAGTATTTATCAAAATTTAGTAAACTTTAATTCAGAAAAAATATTCTGATTGTGATATATATTCTTGTATATGTAACTGAGTGCTTAATGATCATTTTTATAATTTCTGAATTTTTGAATTTACATTGACTGTTACATATAAACAATTCTTTCATGACATTCACCAATGTCACCATTCAATAAATAGCATCATGCAATAATTTGTTTACAAAACGTTCTACGTGCTGATACGGAAAATACAGCCATGGTCAAAAGCCAATCTTTTTATGTTCTATGTTTATTAATGCTTAAAGCTAAAACATATTTACTGCATAACTAATTTATTTCTAATATATTTCGGACGTCTGCGTATTTACACACCCTATTACTATTTTAACAAATACTGTTCATTTATTTTGACATTCAATTTAACCGTTTGCTTTGGAATAATTTACTAGATTTAATAACACAATTAATGATTTCAAATGCTAAATAAGAAAGATAAAAATTGTTTTATTGGTACGACTTTTTATAAATGGATGTTACATTCTGTTACTACCCGGAAGAATATATAATACAATTATAACTTTAGACTTCACTTGCAAAGCATTGCCTGGATTGATCTTGTTTTGTGTTACTTTTCTTTAATGACAATTATTTAAAAATGTTTCTTATGTCTGTTTTCTGATTACAATTGCATGTTTCAGGAGATGTGCAATAAGATTGGATGGCAACTGGTGGACATACAATCTTCAAAGGAACACAGTGAAATAGTTAGAATGATAACTGCAACTGATGGTAGGCTTGCTTTAATTCTATATTTTTTTATGTGACAAATATTGTTTCTAAGCTTATTCATAAAACAATACATAGCGCATTCGGCTCCACATAAGTTGTAAGTCATACATTCATCTGTGGTTGATAAATGATAAATAAAGTATATATTATTTCTTCCTTTTTCCGTTTTTTATCTACTGAAATGATAAGCATACTTATTCGTGATAGCTGTTTAAACAAAGCATGTACAAAATAATAATAAAGATTGGAATTTAAAGATACATACAATCATGATCTTTACATTCCTACTGAATTACAAATACCATAAGAAATAAGTCAAATAATAATAATGAAAAGCATAGGCTCTTGAATAGAAAACTTTTTT